GTGGTGCTAACATTGTAAACAATACTGAAAAGGTTTTACGGTTCAAAATGAAGCTGCTTACTCCCCCAGGCAACATGAGGGGAGGCCAGAGGGTGAGCACAATGTTTCCACAGGACCACGTTCCGCCACCGGAACAACGGAATTGCCGAATAAGCAGCGCAGCAAGCTAGCTAGCTAATGTTAGCTCCCTCTCCATATGTGTTGCGCACTTCAGAGCAGCCAAGAAACCAGGGGAGATAGAGTTTGGGCAGTGGGCACCATGTTTTAACATATCACAGTTGGCTAGCTGTGTGTCTACAAAGCCAATAGAAACTAAAATAAATCACAAGACATTTACATCAAAAAAAATTAAAACTTCATCACCTGTAAAAGTATAGCACTTTGAAATGCACCCCTAAGGCTCACTGAGTCAACAGAGCGCTGAACTGAAAGTAGAGGCCTCTTTTTCTTAATAATTAATCTGTCTTTTTAAAGTAAAATTAATCGAAACTCACAGCCCTTGCTGGTAATATTGTCCCAGCCTATGGTATCCTTGTGGAAACATTAAAACAAAATTAACCAAAATTGACAACCCTACTTCCACCAAAGTGTCAAACTCAAACTCCACAGTGTATTAATTTCAACCTCTCCTACTCTTTAATACTTGTTATTACCAGTGTTGGGGAGTAACTAGTTACATGTAACACAGTTACATTATGAAATTACTACATCCATGTAATTGTAATCAGTTACAGTTACTAAGATAAAATATGTAATTATAAAAATGTTGGTGATTACAAAGAGGTTACATATAAATATATTATTATTGGTAACAAGTTTATATGTAGAATATAACATTCATTCTGTTGCTTTGCATCTTTTTGTTGTGTAGGAATTCTTTCTTTGGCATATTTTCAGGCAGATCAGAAAAGTTGTTTGGACAAATTTGTGTGCAACACTTATGCACTTATGTTTTAGGACTTTTAAGCTTTATCGCCTAGTTTAAAACATTTGTTAGAACAGTAATCAAAAAGTAATAAAAGCAAAAAGTTACATTACTGTGATGAAGTAATTAAAATAGTTACATTAATTACTACATTTTTAGCAGGATATCTAATAATATGTAACCTATTTCATTTCAAAAATAACCTTCCCAACACTGGTTATGACCACGTGTTGGATCCATAGTTTGTATCAATGTAGCCATACCTCAGACTGCATTTAAACATTACACCTCTATTTATGGTATAAACCAAGAGCCATTTGGATACAAAAATCCAGCAGTATCATAACTTTATATGCAAACCACTCAACATGAGACTAAATCAGGCCACAGTGAGTGACCTGCATTCCTTTCATCGGTTGACTCATTCATCTATCAAAACAAATGACTATTACTGCACCACTAAATTAGGCAAAAACAAAAACAAAAGATGTAAATGAACACTGTTCATTTACATTTCGCCCCAGTTATGACTCTGACAGAGCAATCTGTTCTGCCATGTCAACCAGATCGAAGGCTGCTATGTATATCTCTGTCTGAACCAGAGTGCTGGTGAAGCTTTGGAAGGGGGATTTAAAAATGACATCATATCTGGCAGGGCACAATGTTCTGTTGCTGTACAACAAACACTGAACAGACTCTAAAAAGGTCTGCGTAACCACCAGTCGCCCTGGTGCTTCAAGACTTCATGTGGTTCATTTGAAGGGCTCGAAAATCAATCTGCTGCAGCTCATGGAAAAACAATCATCCCATTTCAAAATGAAGTGTTTATGACGTGTTTTTAACGGAGAACACTGGAGGAGGGGATGTGTCTGATTGGCACTTATTTTGAAGCTACATTTCCTCTTGAGATAAGCAAAAATGTGTGTGGAGCTTTTAAATGTTAAAACCGGCAGATATTTTCCATCTGTGAATATCCACATCTGTGATGTGGTTGATGAATCTTCCACATGGATGTCAAATCCTTAGATAACCTCCACATAAAAGTGTCAGGTACATCAATCCTGTCATCTCTGCTGCCTCTTAACAAGTGCCTCATAAAAAGACATAAAAGGCTCCATGTGTTTTCGGCATTTCCAGATCTTTCTCCTGGGCTGGCACAAACGCAGCAAAAGTTGGTGTTAAAATGTCAGTGAGATATACAGCCAGTAGGTTTACAGCTCTTACTAATCCACTGAGACATTTACATATACATTATGTTGCGTAATCGGTGGACAAAAGACTTGGCAACAGTAACAATGGGCCTACACCTTGCAATTGTTGTTTTATCAATTAATCTAACAATCCTTTTTCAATTAGTTGATTTATCCAATGACTAATTTATAGACTCTTATAAAGATTATATTTTAATGTCTTGATTAAAGGACTGCTCTGTCACACAGATCAATTTAATCACTGTATATCAGCAGCCCTTTCCCTCAACTGGAGAATCAGTTTTTTTACTCAAGTACTTGACTTGAAACTTAAAATCATTAATCATTGGAGTAATATGCAGTTAGGACAATCACTGACAAGTGTGTTTTGCATCAGTGTTGGTCAAGAAAAGTAACTGAAATGATTTACATACTGTAACAGCAGTTTGTTACAGTCAATGTTACTTTAAAAGGTAAATTTTTCAACCTGGACCCTAGCTTCCCATGTTTTTGTGTCTAAGTGACCAATGTAATCTTCAATTTTTGAAAATTATTCCAGTATTGAGAGAGAGAAAGGGCAACGGCCAGCAGCTGCGCAACGCCCACATTATAACCAGATGGGGCAATTGTGCACTGTCACTGAACATCCATTAAAAGTGTTTTTTTTTTTTTTTTTACCACAGACAGGCTCAGGTTGTTATCATAAGTGCCTGAAGTGACTCTTTACCTTTTGCTTGAACTTGATCTGATAATCTAGGCCCATTTGTGGCAAAAATAGCCACTTTTAATGGACATGCAATGACATTGCACAATTGCCCCCATTATGGGCATTTTGTGGCTGCCGCTTGCAACCCTTTTTCTTTCAATACTGGACCAATTTCAAAATTGTTGATCACATCAGCCATTTATACACGAAAACATGGGAAAAGAGGGCCAAGGTTAAAAAATTATGAAGTTAACCTTTAAGTCATTTTCTCACTCCTGCGTTATTGAATTAAACAGAAATGATAAAACAGCCAAATAAGAACATTAGATGACACACGGTGTAATGTTACCAGTGGTGCAAAAGGTTTAAGGGATTACTAATAAGCGAAACACAATCCGCATGTTTATAATCCTAATATATGATGCTTGGTTGGGGACAAAATGTAAACAGTAAGGTGTTGTCTGCTGCGGTCCTAAAGAATAAATTTAACTTATGGTGATGTTAGGTTGCTGTTAGACCACACCATTAATACAGGTACGTGCCTCCCTTTGGGTGTGACAAGTAGGAGAACAAACAGTGACTGCAGTGAAAAAAAGGCTAAATGCTGACAAATATGGATTGAAGCAGAATATTGTATCACATAAAAACTGGTTGTGAACTTTAGAAAAGATGACATCTATCCTTTTTCAACACATATTGACTTTTAGACTTTATTGGCATATTAGAAATGTTTGGTTCACACAAGTCAGAAACAATCCTACACAGCCACCCCTAGAATCTAATTCTACAAATAGTAAGATACTAGTAATATCAGCCTAATCTATATCTGCATCTGCGCAGAACTAACAGATTTAAACAGAATAAAGTAAATGGAAAAAGAAAAAAAAAAGCTGTGAAGCATTCGAATGTTGTAGAAAATTCCCCACAAAAACCTGACAATTTAAATTTGCCCTACTAAAGGCAAATAGCTTGTGAAACACTATTGATTTTTTCTTGTGAATTTTGAATGAAAACACACACTGAGTCTCAGTTATTTTATTAAACGTCCTTCATGCCGTGCTGCCTTGCTAAAGTTAATGTTACGCAATGCCATCCCTCTGCAGTTTGGCCTGGTATGTTTGCTTTAATCGTTGTCCAGACACTACTTGCCTAAAACTATTTGTTGTGAAATATACCCAAAAACAACACCTGTAGCATCTAGTCTATATGTCGGCCTAAATACAGTGAAAAAAAACATCAGTGGCCTCCAGATACAGCAGATGATAGCCCATGAATTCAACACAACAGGACACTAATTTAGGGTCTTACAAGCTGCGATATCTTTTCGGTGCTTAAACCAGTAGATACCCACCTACCTGTACTGTCATGTAGACTGAATTCATTCTTTGAATGTTTCTAATCATTGCATTAGAAAATCAGGAAAACTTCCCTCTGCATGGCTCATGACAAGCTCTGTGGATTATCTTGATTAACCGGGTCATGATGTCTGCAAAGAGACATTGCTCTTGAGTTTTTCAAATGTATTTTTTTGGCACTTTGAGCACCACAAGCCTTCTAGTTACATTATATTGGAGAGAAAGCAGACATCTCTACGGCCAATACCTCTAACACTCGGCAACTCACACCAAAACAATCCAGGCTGATAAATAGCACCACAGGTAAGAGGAAAAATATGTATTTTGATTTGGGGGTGAGCTGTCCTTTTGAGCAGAAAAGCCTAACCAAAGACAGGGGTCATAAATTAGCCATGGATATAAATCATATATGCAGTACATCTGTTTATGTTATTTTAACCTGTTACAAGATGTTTTGCATTGTCCCTGACAAATAAACTAACAAACAAATGACAGTTTCATCGTCTGATCTATAGTAGCAGTCTGCTGCCTCCACTGCCACTGCTGTTGCTGCAATGGGCCTTTTTCACAGCAGACATTCTGACTTGTAGCAGAAGAGGCACAAGTGTTACTAATAACTTTAACACTGACAAAGCGGCACAGCGACTCTTATTGGCGTGGTCAAACATTCCTTTAGATGTAGACAATTGAGAGACATTCAACAATCTTACATTAACTTACTAGCTGTCTGTTTCAACCCAAGGTGCACCCCTGTAACGCCCTCCTCTGACACTTCACTACCACTTCACTTGGCCTAAAAGACTGTAACAGTGGAGAGCTTTTACCTTTATGTTGGAGAACCACAGGTCGTTCTCATGCAGTGTGGCCATGTAGATACAGCACAGCAGGCCCAGACCAACAGACACAGACCAACCAACTGATGTCCAGATTATTGCCCCCCATGACCAGTCACCTGCAGGAGCAATAACATGTCAGTAAGTGTCAAGTGAAACTTTTGAGTTTTAAAAAAACATAGCATTGCACAGAAGACACTTAAAGATGTCACATCAAGAAAAGCAAAGGTGTAATGAAGGTTGAATTCCATTTAGCTGGTTCAGGGTCCTGGTATTGTGGATACTTTGGATCAACTTACACTCAGACCAGGGGCAATTGCTCTGAGACAACAAGGGAGGCTTAAATTCCCGTAAAATTGCATAGAAGAAATGGTCAAATATGCACTATTGAATTTACATTAAAATAAGAATTTATATTGCATTAAATGTGCTCTAGGATGCGTTTAACATCATGACTATGATGTTCAAACGTCAGCTGTTTATCACCAGTTTTAAAACGCGACCTCCCTGTCATACATTCTTGTGGCAGCACAGTGGACGCGGAGTTTTCAAGCATTCCTATGAGACAGCGCTGAGCAGGTTTTTTTCATGCAGCAAAGCGAGACAGTCATTGGATAAATGCGACAAAAACGTCACTTCCAGGGAGGCTCAGCTTCCATGGGACCTAATAGAGCAGTAGGCAGGAGAGGACGCTAAGTGTATGCATGATGATTGGAGGAATTGTCTAAAAGGCTGAACCCCTTTGTGATTGACAGCGCATTGGAAATACACACCAGCATCTTCGCATTTTGAGCTCAGTACCATGCGGATATTTGCGAGTGGAGTCTTCTGACAGAGTGCCATCCGGAGTTCCTTATTTCCATAAGCCATATAGCTCATTTTCACCGTTAAACCCATCTGAAAATCTTTGAGGTGTGTTTTGCTGTGGTTCTATGGCATGAGTGTGGTTGAAAAACAGCTTCAATTAAATGTTCCTTTTAAAAGTTACTGCCTCGCTACAATATGACAAATTTTATGATGTAAATTTAAAGTGAGCTTCCCCTGTTTGAAAGACCAGCAGCCGCCACTGACTCAGACAGTACTAGCTTGTTCAACATGTTGTTCCGACCACATCAGAAATAGAAAGTGTGTTTCAGCCACACTGGAGAGCTGTGTGAAGCCGGATGTCATAAAGAGGGGGACACGATATTGTTTAAATATGGGGATAGCGCTGCTGTATTGAAATGTGTTCCCCCCTGTTAATGGGCAGTGCCAGCCGTGATGATAGGGTTCAGGCTTCGGGTCTGGTTTAGATTTAGGTGGGGGGAACACATGTATTGACGGACAAACCTTCTTCATCACAACACCAGCACATATTTGTATGCAGTCTCTCCTGGAGGGAGGGCATTCATAGTGTTGTACTTGGTTGCTGGTTGATCGAAACAGTAAATTTATGATGGCTGCATTCTGTGAAAGTGCTGCACGAATCCATGCCACTATGTCAACATGGCAACACCAGATGGCTTTTGTTATGTGGATACTAAAGAAATACAGGTAACTCATATAGTATAAATGACAGTATAAAATTTTTTCATCTGTGTAATGCAGAAAAAACACTTCAGTTCATTATGCCTGGTGTCCTCTGAGGATGCAACCCAAGCAAAACGTGACTGCATATACATGTGTACAGAAAATGTAGGAGTGTGGACTTTAAGCAACAAAGTGAGTTATGAAAATGTGGTATTTCTTTGAAGAACATTTCTTTGCATTCAGCACCCACAGCAGGTCAGAGGTCAGGGTAAGATACAGAACACAGGTTCCTGAGCTGGATCTGGCTCAAGGACACTTTGGCAGGATGGGTGGCTGGCAACAGTACTAACCCCTCAGTCAAAGGGCACTCTCTGTAGTCACCAGGCCACACTGCAGCTGCTGCTGCTGCCCTAGAAGACGTGTATGAGAAGCAGCTGGGTGGGAGGATGGCTCACTCACCGTGCAAGATCTTCTCTTGATGATGGTCGGTGCAACAGTTGGGATGTTGGGACTGAAACTCTGCACCAAGGGGGGGCTCCTTCCCCTTGCTGCCCTTCCTCTGACGCAGGGCTGTCATGTTGAAACACTGAAACAACCACACAGGGGGGCTGTGTCTGATTACACAGATATGATTCGCACATGAACAAAGTGAAGACACACATACACGCAGGCATGTAACCGACCTCAACACACACACACTAACAGCGTGTGTGCAATCTGAGCCAAAGCAAACAACGTTTGTTTTCCTTCACTGTCTGCAGCCTTTCATTCAGTGTGATAGATGGGCTGGACAGGCCTGCTTACAGCGGCATTTCCTGCTCACGTCGCAGTCAGAATAACATGAAACACCAGATCCCATCCATCGACACCCACAGCACCCACATCACCGGCAAACTACATTAATCCTACCGTATCTAAGCCAGGTGGTAGGCTACGCCAAACACAACAACAAATGTACAAGTCCCTGCTGAAATATTGGGAAATTAGCAGTGAGGAGACCAGTGAGGCACAAAATACCCTAAAGTACGGTAAGGTAGATTTAAACTCCTATTGTGAGGCATACTTCTACAGCCTTTATGCAAAATTAATGTTCATTTAGCATAAAGGCGCACTCCCGTTATGGACGCCAGCTTTTCTTTCTGTCTTGACAGCAACAAAGACGAATACGATTTGCTCCGACGGTACATTTATAAACCTCACCCTCCTCTAGAGCAGCGGCTGGTAGGATGGTCCGACAGCTCTCCTCTACCTCCCTCTCTTCCCCTATTTCTCTCTATCTCCCTCACTCTTTCATTTTCCTCTCCTCTTTTCTCCCTCCCGTTAGAATTCATCGGTCAGCTTCATACCGCACTGGGTTTCACCACGGGACAGTACCGGAACACAAGAGAGGCCGCCTTCAAAATAAAAGCGTGAGAATATCACTTAGAGAAAGGCTGCTAAATGGGACAGACATCTCTGCTGGAGTCTTAGCTTGTAGTTACCACTACAGTTATATGGATGAACCTGTGTGTCTGAAACAGTGGAACAGAATTGAAACACAGACACAGTTGTGTGTGTGTGTGTGTGTGTGTGTGTGTGTGTGTGTGTGTGTGTGTGTGTGTGTGTGTGTGCGTGCGTGCGTGCGTGTGTGTGTATTGTTCCCACGCCATATGGAGGATATGTGGTAATATCTATGGTGGTAAAAGAAATTAAGAAAAATAAAAGCAGACAATATAATCAGTGTTATTAGAAGAGATAAGAGGCCAGTCAGAATAATGAAACTTTTTTGTCAGTATGAGCAGTCTAAACTAATTATGAGGGATCAGATGAGCATCAGTTAAACTAATAAATAAAAAGTTTATGGACACCATAAACTTGGGTGCAACAAGCATGACACTACAGAGCCATAATGTGAATGAATATGGAGGAAAGAGAAAAAGAAACATGGATGTAAAACAGGCATTAGAGTTACTGAATGCACTGAGTGAAGGAGAGTCTGACGGTGGGGAGATCTCTGGACTCAGTGATGTGTCCTGGATGGACTCTGGATCTGACGGATCATCATCTAACAGCGACCCAGAGCCTCTGCGCAAAGTGCAGTGTCCCGCCCATCCTCCAAGTGAAGATGGGCCGACTACAGCACTTGCAGAAGTTAAAAATTGGTAGACCTAACTTCTGGTTAGGTAATCATCAAATTATTATGATAGATACACAAGGGGCAGACACACTGAAAGCGACTCCAACACTGTTTTGAATTGGGAGTGTCAAACGAGGACCCAGCGACCAACACTGTTTTTTGTTCAGCCATAATCCCTGTTTGGAGAGCACTATGAGAGAGTGAGAGTGTGAGAGAGATTATTGCTTTCAGTGTGTTTGGCCCTATAGGCTATTCCTACACAAACACATGCACAGCTTTCCAACACCACACTCGCAGCGCAATATCTGTGATAAACTCACAGCATTTATGTGTCTGTGTGATGGTGTAATGTTGCACCACATTGGTGAATGCACCATTGCTGAAGCGTGCAGAGCGGGTGGAGAGAGAACCAACTGGGATTTCTCTACTGACAAGGCCTTCATTGCACTGCTGTATGTGAGGGGGGCGTTCTGTGGCAAAAACATCAAAATGCAAAGTTTCTGGGCAGAGCAATGGGGCAATGCATTCTTCAACACCACGTTATCCACGAACCACTACAGGATATCATGCGCTACCTGTGCTTTGATCAGAAGGAGACCCGGCGTTGCCGACTGACCAGTGATAAATTTGCACACCTGAGGGAGGTGTGGGACAGGTTCATTCAGAACGCCATTGCATGCTACAGGCCAGGGTCTGACATAACCGTGGATGAACTGTTCCCGACGAAAGCCAGATGCCCCTTCACTAATATATGCCCAACAAGCCTGACAAATTTGGGATCAAGTATTGGCTGGCAGCCAATGTTGAGAGCAAGTACATACTGAATGGCTTCCCATACCTGGGAAAAGATGACAGCAGGCCAGCCACACAACGCCTTGGAGAGAATGTGGTCCTGAAGCTGGAGAAGCCCTTTGTCAGTAAGCGAAGGAATGAACCAACAATTTTCAGTCAATCATCGATCAATGCTGTTTTATCTGCTGTTTTTTCTTTTTCTGTGAAGAACCTTGTTAAGGAAAGTGTTATACATCAGGTTTATTGTTATATTATTTTATTGCCATATTGTAATGTTGTGAGCATTAAGGGATTACAATAGCATTTCATTTATACAACTGTGTTGTAAAATGACAAATAAATAGACGTTGTACCTTGAAAATCAATGCATTCTAATAGCAGGTCAATTTTACCTGTTGGTGGTTTTAGGTATACAGCAACCCCTGGCAGTTCTGGTGTCAAACTCTGTGTGGGTGTAAACCCTTACAGAGTCTTTAAGGTCACACGTGAGGTCTGAGTTTCAGAGTTGTAAAGGTCACATGTGAGTCGTTGACCCACCAGGCCATCTTGTGTCATTCCGGTTCGCTGGGTCCAGGTGAGAATGGGTGTTCAGTCGTCTTGGAAGGGATCGCTGGGTGGGTCAACGACACAAGAAACTCAAGTAAGTCCAGTTGCCTATGATATAGCACTTGAGATTACTAAATTCTTTATTTTCCTCAGAGATATTTTGGTTTTTGGATATGGAATCCATAGTTAGCTTTCCTAGGGAGACTCAAGACTAGTCATCGCTATTGAGGTTCAGCAAAATTTGGAGGAAAAGGAGTCACTGGAGGGGGCCTCAAGGGCCACATGCAGCTCTGGAGCAGCAGGTTTCCTACCCCTGCTATTGGGGAAAGAACAATTTCATCCTCTCCTAGAGGTGGTGACGTTGTCAATTCACTGCTCTGCTGAGATTGGATTCATACTCTTAAAGGGTAAGTTTGATAGTTTTCAATCTGGACTTCAACCTCTTTTCTCATGTCTTTGAGTCTAAGTGACTCATGGGAACAACAATTTTTGAAACTGGTTTAGAATTAAGCGAGACAGCTGCCGCCACAAGCATTAAGACAGATTGCAATGTAACCAGCTGGGGCAATTTCACATCATCAATGTAAAAGTGCTTGTTTTTGCTACTGACAAGCTCAATTTAAGTGTCTGAAAGTTATGGACAGGATGCCTACAGACATGGACCTTTTTTAAGAGTTAGAGTAAGAATAAGATCCTTCTTTTTTTTTAAACAGAAAGAGACATAAAATTGTTATTGCCAAACCCACCAGACTCCATTTAAATAAAGAATAATTTAAGCATGCATAGACCCACAGTATTTTCACCATCCTGGTTAGACTATCCTGATGACATGAGCTCAACATTCTGTCTGCTCTCTGTATCAGTCGGAACTCTGTGTCACCTCAAACACTTTCAGTGGGCAACCAATCAGTGTAACAAAACACCAAAGATCATCTCCATCACCAGCAGAGCTAGTTGATAAATCAAGCTTTAGCGAAATTCATTTGGAGGAACAGAAAGAGCTTCTTTTCCTCTGAGAAACTCTGTGAGCGCATACGCTTGTTCTTGACTATTGTTATTGACTCTATTTCTGCAATAACTTCACTTATTGCTGCGTTTCTTCTACTAACGTTGAAATTAGTGCTTGTTGCTTTGGAAGCTGCCATTTCTGTTGTGCAAGCTGCAACCTGCATTTATGTCAACAATAACATAGTCCCTGATTGTCTGCTTAGATTGTCAACTACAGTGTGGATTCCTGATTGACTCCAATTGGATTTTAATTTCTGGAAACTGTTTGGGGTGGCACCAAATCTAGACTGATACAGAGAGCAAAAAAGAATGTTGAGCTCATGTCATCGTGATGGTCTTACCATGCTATATTTTCACATCTAACTGGGTGAAATAAAAGGTTATTTAAACCAAACCAGAGTAAGTGGATACATTGAAATTACTGGCTTTGTGTTCACAGCAGTTGAGTTTGTTTTGAGTTAAGTCCGATATCGATAGAAAAAGCTGGGTCAAAGATGCCAGACTTCTGTCCAGCATATAGCTGCTCAAATTAGCACAGCTGCAAAACAAAACAATGTGGGATCACCTTTCACAAGTAAGACATTATAGATCATTTCTCCCCCCACAGCTTGGCTATGCCAGTGCTGTGGGAAAAGGACCTGCAATGTTATATTTCAAGTAACGTGTTGCTACCATTTGCTTAGATAATCTTTGAATGTTACAACTTTTGGTCCAGTCTGTCAGAAGGGAATGGAGGGTGGACAATTTTGACAATTATTTATATTTATGGCCACTTCCTCACATTTTTAAGGTTTCCCAAAAATGAAGAGAGGAGGAGGCAGTGGGAGCTGGCCCTAAAGAGAGAGGGATTTGTTGCATCTGAGAGGGCCATGCTCTGTAGTGAGTATTTTAGGCCTGAGGATTTGGATAGGACTGGGCAGACTGTTATACCATCAATTTTCAGCTTCCCACCTCATCTTCAAAGAGTATGTATGATTAGGCAATGAGATTTCAAGATGCATATGATTGATGTGAATGTGTATTACAGTACATTTTAGATACTAAAAACATCTTTAATTGGCATGGTTCTGTAATTTTAGCCGGTAGCAAAGAGGACCACCAAAGCCTCTAGAAGAGCAGAAGAGTTCACTGGACTGGACTGAACCTCAGGCTAATGTTGTGAGTATATGCTGGGGGAATGTCACAAACAAATGAGAACATCTAACATCAAACTACAATGACTATGTCTCAAAGTACCACCATACTCCACTTTTGGAAAACAAGTAAGCCACCAAAACAGCAAAAAGGCAAACAAAAACAAAACTCCTGCAGTGTAATGGTAAGACATCCATCGACTTGATGGAACTTCCAGAGTCTGTTGAATGTTTGTCAGGTTGCCACCAAACCTATTCAAACCTATTTTACTACAAACTATAGGAGGCCCATAAACTACCATACAATGCCCATGCATAAAAGTACCACCATACAGTACTCACTTTTGCATTAGCTTTAGATCATAGCGCATTCACCAATATTCTGACCTGTACAAAATACACATGTCATGTCAAGTCATATTAAATCCTTTGACACAGTGCTAAGTGGTAAAGGCAGCTGTAGTTCAGTTGGTAGAGTGGGTCATTCAGTGACCGAAGGGTCGGTGGTTGGATTCCGGCTCTTCCTGTGTGCATGTCGAAGTGTCCTTGAGCAAGACACTAAACCCCAAAATTGCTCGCAAATGGAATGGCAGCACCTTCCCATAGTTGCTTGCTGCCATTGGTCCATCTGCGCCCTGGGCATTTCTAACTGAATGTAGATAGGTGTGCATTACAAATACAGGACCTTCACATTTACCTTAAGTAAACATTTCAAAAAATTACATTCAATGCCATATTATTATTTACATATTTGTATATTTTGCCAAAGCAACAGGGAGCCACTGGAGAGGGGAAAAAGAGCCGCAAGCAGCAAAGCCTTGAGCATGCATATACATTGCCTGCTTCTCCCACTGCTATAAAGGCCAAACTGGATGAAGCTTCAGCTAGAGTGCGGAAACTGGAGCAGGAGAAGAGGAATGCTCTGGCAAGAGAGGAGGGCAAAGAAAAATATGTGTGCTCTTCTTGAGGAGTTGAAGGACAAAAACCTCATCAATGAGGAGCTGACTGACAAGCTTGAAAGCTACTCTGGTAAAATAAAAATATTATTTTTGTTTTTTGTGTATCTTATGTTTACACTTTGTTAGATGTTTAGTTTTTACCACGGCACAGTGGGCTAGCCGTGGCATGGTCTATGCTGGCAAGTTAAGGTCAGTCAGTCAGTTACTCAGTCATATATACAAATTTAGGTTAGGTTCTTTAGGTTCTTTATTTTGCACAATTAAAAAATACACATGAAACATAACAAATGATGACAAGATGGTGCAGGGAGAGGCAAAAAACCACAGTGGGCTTATTAGAAGCCTCCACCTTATAATAATATTACAACAGAAACACAAAACATCAAAACATGAAAAATTAGTAAGAATTAATAGTGACTAACAACAATAATATGAAAATAAAAACAAAGAGTGTAATTGAGTGTGTGTGCGCGCACACATGACTATTGGCAACTTATGGGCAATAATAATAATAAAGATAATAATGATAGTTAGGATCTTTGTCAATGAACATCAAGACAATCACATACATAGACAATACATTACAAGACAGCAGTTAAATGATCTTTTAAACATCTTTTAAAACATTTCACAGAGGAGCATTTTTTTGCTAAATGGGAGAAGCTGTTCCATAACTTAGTACCTCTGAATCTGATAGAAAACTGATCTTTGCTGGTCAGGAGTTTAGGGGGATGAAGATTTGCAGATTGACGCGTTGAGTAAGAATGAACCTTTGAATTTTCTTTGAAGTAAGTCTTGAACTCTTCTGGAATATTTCCTTCATTTGAGAGTATTTTGTAAAGAAAAACACATATTTGAAAAATATTAATATCATAAATACTTAGAATCTGGAGTTTCTGAAATAAAGGGGCAGATGAAATGTGAGACTCTGATCGGGTAGTGATCCTAACAAAGCGTTTCTGGAGAACCAGAAGAGTAGTAGGAAATGTGCTTGCCCAAACGATAGTACAATATGAGAGAAATTAAACTATAATAAAAAGTAAGGAGACAGTTTGTAGTAACAAGATGACTGATCCTCCTTATAATACCAATAGATTTGTTTATCTTTCTGTTAACACAATCAATCTGATCTCTCCAACTTAGACTCTCTTCAACAATAATTCCCAGGAATTTTGTATTTGACACCTGAGGCATCTCAACAGACTCTATTAAAATTTTAGATAAATCCTTTGAGTTTGATTTTTTACCACTGAAAATGATAAAGTTAGATTTGTTTATATTCAAAGATAATTTATTTAATCTAAACCATGTGGTGCAGGCAGTTAAACCAGCATTTGCATTTTTAATCAGTGAGTTGAAGTTTGAATGGGAGAGAACCAATGCCGTGTCATCTGCAAACATTATTGGAGAAAGGATATTTGAAACATTAAACAAATCATTAATATAAATAAGAAATAATAATGGTCCAAGAATGGAGACTTGTGGGACCCCACAGAGTAATCTGGCTTTGCTGGAATAACAACCCTTAAAACAAACAAACTGTTTCCTATCAGAAACATAATTTTCTAACCATTTGTATGCAATGTCATGAAAACCATATTTGTACAACTTTTCAAGTAGAATATGATAATTTACAGTATCAAATGCTTTTGAAAAATCAAGAAAAAATTCATTGTTGTCAAGAGCTGAGGTAATCTTGTCAATCAGGTGAAGTAGCGCCATATAAGTGGAGTGGTTTATTAATTTATTTGGTATATGAACGCCCTATAGAGAGGGCCCAAGCACTGTGGTCCCTAATGCGCTTGTCACTTAGTAAAGTTACTTATTAAAAAGGGGACATACTAATTCAGTTCTGCTAATTGAATTTCAGATCTTCTGGTTCACCTCCTGTCAAGGCAGAGCGATGAATACACCAAGGCCCAGAGGGAGTTTGCCCTTACTCTCCATCTACATGGACCAAAGGCATACAGCTACCTGAGGGAGTCCTTGAATATTCACCTCCCACATCCTAGCACTATGCAAAGGTATTCTTCATGTTATATAATTGTTAATTATCAATTATCAACCTAATGCTGACACAATACATTTTTGACGGGTTATAAAACAGTTTCATGTTAATACTGATGTATCTCCATTGCCTAAGTTAGCCAATGTAGCCATTATTGAGAAGTTTTGCTTCATAGATATAGTTATTTTATAGATTTCTGGTAAGCTCGGGTCAGACAGAAAGGACGAAATGAGTTACGGCAGTCAGGCACGCACATGCACGCCTGCAATACATTCTAAATACGACCTTTATGACAATACGCATTGGGGCTCTAGGGAAATGCAGTTTTCTTTCTGGAAAAGCACTTCCACTTTCATCCATAGGTGCCGCTAGCATCAACAAAACCAAAAACCTCCTTGTGTCAGCTTTAAGCGCTACAGACTTTCATCATGCCGAATAGTGAAACTTAATCAATCTAGAAGCTCATATCACATGCTGATCCATTTTGAGGTTGTGGCTGACTATGTCCTCAATAGTGATACTTGGGTTTAAGTGGTTAAATACCTACTTTTTCATTTTACAAAGGTGGCTACGGTCACAGAAAAGCACGTGAACTTTGTTAATCAGAAAATAAAGGTATGTTTGTTTGTATGATGTTTTATGTAGAGAGGACCACAACGGAAATAGATTCTAGGGCATTATTGTGGGGTTTTTTGTCCTTGATGTTTGTGTCTTGAAATACTAATGCACACTTTATATTCTTGTTTTTTCCTTATACACTCAATCAATCAAGGTTGCCCTGGCTGCACAGACTTTAAGTCACTCTGTGGCAGTGGCACTCCGCACCTTGAGGGACCTGGGCTATGCAGAGTTTCAACACTGTGAGGCTACTGCCAAATTCATTGAGGTAATAGACTTGCATCATTGACCAAAATCATTTTCTGTTCTTGTGGTTAGCATTGACTTGCGATGCGCTGCTCTCTAAGGAAGGACAAGTTTCAGAACCAAGACACTCCTCTGGGAGGTAACCATAACCGTCCTTTTCCTTACAGATGCCTTCCTTGCTTCATCCAACAGAGAATACAGTACATGTGCACATACTGTAAGGAAAATAAGGATACTGTGCTACAGTATGTTTAATTTTCATTGAAAACATTTCCCTCCCTCAGAAAAGGTCCAGGAGGTCTACAAGAACTTCCTTCAGGAGTCTGGTATCCAGTTCAGTGAGTTGAAGGAGGTGCTTCAGTTTCACCTCAGCAACCTGGAGTACGCTTGTGGAAGCACACTGGACCAGGTCTGAAGCTGAGCAGATTCTCTTGTCATAGTCAATCTAGGCCCTTGGGAGATATGGAACTCTTCAAGGAGCAGGTAAGAAAGAAAGAATCATACACCTGTTTATTTGTGCACTATTAAAATAACAAGATTTTCTTTATGCTGATTTTGCCTCCATTTTCTTCAATAGGAGGTCCCTGAGCTGGTGAAGTACTTTGTCACATGCTGGAGAAAGACTTGTGGTCTCAGAATGTCCTACAGCTTTGTGAAGACAGGAGGCAGTGGGGAAGCTTATGACATCATTGCTGAAGATGTTCTGGGAAAAGTGTTCTTTGCTGGGGAGGTGAGGGTTTCTAATCATTTAGCCTACTACATGTATCAGTTAGTTCCTCATGTTTGAGAGAATGTAAATAAGAATTGGGCATTTAGCTTGATAACATTTGCTGTGTTTGTCCGTTTCCAGGCAACCCACAGGCACTTCCCGCAGACTGTAGCAGGAGTCATTCTGAGTGGGGTCCAGGAGGCCAGTAAAATCGCTGCTTTGTAACTCCTTCCCAGACATGGACCTGTCTTGTCACCTACCTGCCTGAGGACATTGGGGATGAATAGATTTGAAGCAACTGGTCTTCATTTCAAAACGGTCGTCTCCACTCTTGAGAGAAGTGTTTCACCTTGAGTACTGGACCTTGTGTTGAGCAGCAGTAGCCGATGCGGTCTATACGTGGAATGGTTGTAGGTTTCAGTGGCAAAGTATACAATGAACACCTCACTGGTTCAAGAGCCAGCTAATGTATCAAAATCTATAAAATTAGGGTTCACTGCACTGCTGGTATAGTTGTTTCCAAAACAAAGAACTAGTGAATTGATGTCATTGTTGTAACTGAGTAGTGTATTCGTTATTTTGTTAGGAATGTGGTGGGTGGTGCATCTTATGGTAATGGTTCTGTAATGTATATGAGCACTTCACTGTCACAGATATTTGAGATAATGTTCAAATCAATACTTTTGTAGTAGCACTTTTCATTTATAATGAGTAGATGAACTTGGGACAGGACAGGTTTCAGATGGGATTGATAATGCTTTAAAATACCAAATAGGAATAGTATGATGGACACTAAAGGGACATAATTCACTTCAGAAACTGTTGGGTTGGAGAAATGTTTCGGCGGCTGTAAGGACTCTGCCTTTTCAGTTCCTGTTAGTGTTTTATGACTTGTAAATAAATGGCTGAGCTGTTGCTAGCCAGACTTATTTTCCTGCCTCAATCAAATCTCTTCTGTCCTCTCCTGTTGAATGACATCCTGTGGACAACTGAAAGATTATGTCCTACAAAGCTGCAGGAAATATGGGCCATAAAAATACAAACCAATTTTCATTCTAGCCATTAGACTCTTTCTAGGTTACACACAACACACACATATTTGTTGGCCACATTGATGGCATATGTTTGTGTCACTTATGCTTTAAAACCCACTATAAACCCTTACCCTCCTGTCAGATGTTTGTCAGATTATTTATCATGTATGTAATAAAATAAACTGACACCGTCCGTCGGATTTGAACCCGAGCCACTTCAGTAAAGGTAAGCTCTTTTGGTCAATCCCTTGAACTGTCAGTCAAGTTTGAACACCATTTAATAACTTTGATACATATTCATTTTCAATTAGAGACACTCAAAAGGGGAGTTGAGAACTTGATTGAAATGTTGAAGCAACAAAAATATGTATTTGACAACAAAAAGTTCAATTACTTGAGATCCTCTCCTAGCTCAACTTAATAGAGTGTGCCAGGGCTGACGTCAAAATCTGGAAGTTTAGCATCGCGCTGGTTCCCGGAAGAGAAAGTGAATGTGATTTTTGCATTGCGTTTTGGATTATGTCTGAAAATGAGCTCTGTGGCTAACACAAGTTTATGATACTTACAGGTTTTGTTCAGCGAGATAATCTTCACATATGAACACCTTTCATACCGCATTTGAAGCTTAAATGCGATCGCCAGAAGTAAAAAACTAACATTAGGCTTTAACAGACTACATGACTACTCCACAGTCACATGACTCACCGCCACTAAGCTTTTAACTGATTTTGGCCGCTTTATTTTAAAAACATTGTTTAATGGGGAAATCAGACTGTTTAAGCTAAATAAGAAGCTGTAATGGCGGACTGCCAGCACTCTCGCCTGTTCGGGGGTGATGACGTTTAATGTCCCTGACAGGATTTGTAGTCGTATTGAGCAACTTGTTAGCAACCGCCTTTTTTACGACATGTAAAAGCTTCAAAATTCACAAGTAGGGTATTTACTGACGTGTTTTATGTTGTAGAACAAAACCTGAAACTCGCTTAAGCTTTTGTTAACCACAGACCTTATTTGAGGCATTTTACCAAAATCCCATTCAAAAAACGTACTGACTTTTAGACGAGAGAACCGGAAGTGCGAAAAGCGCTAACGGAGTTCCAGGTTTACTGGCACACTCTATTGTGAAAAAAAAATCATTTTATAGCTACTAGTCCATATCCATTGAGTGTGCATGTCTCTACGACATATGGGGCCCATTTCGGAATTTCAATCTTTAGGTTATATATTATATATATATATATGTACATATACATATATACATATATATATATACATTAAGGTTATGCTATTGTGCCCTCCTTTGGCCTACTGGCGTAATATTTCTTCATTGGCATCCTGCCATTACCCTCTGCCACTGTGCCAAATCACCATGGCCATAACACACTGAAGGACCTGAATCCCCGACACAAAATGGCGGCCATGTAGGCACGTCACTTCAATGGGCAGCTACGTTGGACGATTCATCTAGTGTTTTTTAGATATGGTTTATGGTTTCAGTTCAATTCAATTTTATTTATAAAGCCCAATATCACAAATCACAATTTGCCTCACAGGGCTTTACAGCATACGACATCCCTCTGTCCTTTGGACCCTCACAGCGGATAAGGAAAAACTCCCCAAAAAAACCCTTTAACAGGGAAAAAAACGGTAGAAACCTCAGGAAGAGCAACTGAGGAGGGATCCCTCTTCCAGGACAGACAGACGTGCAATAGATGTCGTACAGAACAGATCAGCATAATAAATTAACAGTAATCCGCATGACAATGAGACAGAGAGAGAGAGAGAGAGAGAGAGAGAGATGCAGGTAATGACAGTAGGTTACAACAACATTATTGAAAGTAATAATATTATAGTTCTGGCTACTGTGGTACAATATGTTGAACGTATGTATTAATATCTGGTAGTATACATGTGTGACAATAGTCATATGTGTATAATAACAGTAGAAGTATGACTAATGATAACAGCAGCAGCAGGAGGCATCTGGCAGGACCACAGCAGCAGCACAACCACACACGTCACGCTGTCCAGGCACCGCTCCAATATGAGTTAATCTGAGAGACAGTGGAGCACAAAGGCTCTGGAGAAGAAGCCGAGTTAGTGACATCCAGAATGGCCGAGTTAGCAAGATGCAGTAATAGAATACGAGAGAGAGAGAGAGAGAGAGAGAGAGAGAGAGAGAGAGAAGGAGAGAAGGTGCCCTAACTATAAGCTTTATCAAAGAGGAAAGTCTTAAGTCTAGTCTTAAATGTGGAGACGGTGTCTGCCTCCCAGACGGTAACAGGAAGATGATTCCACAGGAGAGGAGCCTGATAGCTGAAGGCTCTAGCTCCTGATCTACTTTTGGAGACTTTAGGGACCACGAGTAACCCTGCGTTCTCAGAGCGCAGTGTTCTGGTGGGATAATATGGCACTATGAGCTCTCTAAGATATGACGGAGCTTGACCATTTAGAGCTTTATAAGTTAACAGTAGGATTTTAAATTCAATTCTGGATTTTACAGGGAGCCAGTGCAGAGAAGCTAAAACAGGAGAAATATGATCTCGTTTCTTAGTTCCTGTTAGTACACGTGCTGCTGCATTCTGAATTAGCTGGAGAGTTTTTAAGGACTTACTAGAGCTACCTGATAATAGAGAGTTACAGTAATCCAGCCTTGAGGTAACAAAAGCGTGGACCAATTTTTCTGCATCTTTTCGGGTCAGGATAGGCCTAATTTTCGCAATATTACGCAGATGAAAAAATGCAGTCCGTGAGGTTTGCTTTAAATGAGAATTAAAAGACAAATCTTGATCAAATATTACTCCGAGGTTTCTTACGGTAGTGCTAGAGGCCAGAGCAATGCCATCTAGAGAAACTATGTCATCAGATAAAGAGTCTCTGAGTTGTTTGGGGCCAAGAACAATAACTTCAGTTTTGTCTGAATTTAACATCAGGAAATTGGTGCTCATCCAATTTTTTATGTCTTTAAGGCAGTTATGGAGTTTAGTTAATTGATTACTTTCTTCTGGCTTCATCGATAAATACAACTGTGTATCATCCGCATAACAATGGAAATTTATAGAGTGATTTCTAATGATGTTACCTAAAGGAAGCATATATAGAGTAAATAGGATTGGTCCGAGCACAGAACCTTGCGGAACTCCAAAACAAACTTTGGTACGTAAGGATGATTCATTACGAACGTCAACAAATTGAAAACGATCAGATAAATAAGATTTAAACCAGCTTAGTGCTGAACCTTTTAGGCCAATTAAGTGATCCAGTCTCTGCAGTAGAATTTGATGGTCAATTGTGTCAAACGCCGCACTAAGATCTAATAAAACAAGAACAGAGACGAGTCCTTTGTCTGAAGCAATCAGAAGGTCATTTGTAATTTTAACTAGAGCTGTCTCAGTGCTATGATGCACTCTAAATCCTGACTGAAATTCCTCAAATAAATTATTATCCTGGAGAAAATCACACAGCTGGTCTGCGACTACTTTCTCAAGGATCTTTGACATAAAGGGAAGATTAGATATTGGTCTATAGTTGGCTAACACCTCTGGATCCAGGGTGGGCTTTTTTAGGAGAGGTTTAATTACAGCTACCTTAAAAGACTGTGGTACATAGCCTGTTAATAGGGATATATTGATCATATCTAATATATGAGTGTTAACTAAAGGAAAGACCTCCTTAAGTAGCCTAGTTGGGATGGGGTCTAAGAGACACGTTGATGATTTAGATGAAGAAATCACTGCGGTCAATTCTTGAAGAGAAATTGGGGAGAAGCAATCTAAATATATATTAGATTCTACAGCTGTGTTTGAGGTTAGATAGGTAGGCCTACCATCTGAGGGCAGGAGGTCATGAATTTTGCCTCTAATAGTTAGAATTTTGTCATTAAAAAAGCTCATAAAATCATTACTGCTAAGGGCTAAAGGAATACAAGGCTCAATAGAGCTTTGACTCTCAGTCAGCCTGGCTACAGTGCTGAAAAGAAACCTGGGGTTGTTCTTGTTTTCTTCTATTAATGCTGAGTAATAGTTTGCTCTGGCATTGCGGAGGCCCCTCTTATAAGTTTTGAGACTGTCTGTCCAGATTAAACGAGATTCTTCCAGTTTGGTTAATCGCCAATTCCTTTCAAATTTTCGCGATATTTGTTTTAACCTACGGGTTTGAGAGTTATACCAAGGAGCAAACTTTCTTTGCTTTGTTAACTTCTTTTTAAGAGGAGCTACAGAGTCGAGCGTTGTTCGCAGCGAGCCTACGGCGCTATCAACAAAATGATCAATTTGGGAGAGGTTAAAGTCGGCACGGGAAACCTCTGTTACTGAAGGTATTGGTATTGAATTTAACGACGAAGTAATCTTTTCCTTAAATTTTGTGACAGCACTATCTGATAAACATCTAGTATAGTAACTGTTGCTGAGTGGCGTGTAATCGAGTAAAAAGAAATCAAAAGTAATCAGATAATGATCTGATAGCAAGGGATTCTGTGGAAAGACTTTTAGGTTATCAATTTCAATTCCATACGTCAGAACTAGATCGAGGGTATGGTTAAAACAGTGAGTGGGTTCATGTACACCCTGACTGAAGCCAATGGAGTCTATTAATGAGATAAACGCGGTAGCCAGGGAGTCATTATCAACGTCGACATGAATGTTAAAATCGCCTACAATAATAACTTTATCTGATTTAAGAACTAAACTGGATAAAAACTCTGAGAATTCAGATACAAATTCAGAATACGGGCCAGGAGCACGGTACACTATAACAAATAAAAGTGGCTGCGAGGTTTTCCAGGTCGGATGTAAAAGACTAAGAACAAGGCTTTCAAATGAATTATAATCTAGTTTAGGTTTAAATAGTGAAAACCAAGAAAGCTTTTGTGATTTTTATTTTCTTTGTGTCGACTTTAAATTAAGTGTTTTTTACACTGACAGAATTACTCTTCATTTAAATGGAGTCTGGTGGGTTTGGCGATGGGGATTTTGGGGCTGTTTCTAATTAAACAAAAAAAGGTCTGTCTCTGTAGGATTTTTTCCATGAGTTGTCAGACACTGAGAGTAAAAAGCTGAGCTTGTCAGTGGCAAAAACAAGCACTTTTAGTTGACTTACATTGACAGTGCACATTTAACCCGACTGGTTACAGTGCAGCCTGTTTTGAAGCTTGTGGCTGCAGCAGTCTCACTTAATACTAAACCAGTTTAAAAAAAGAAAAATGTTGTTCCCATGAGTAACTGAAACGTGGGAAAACAGGATCCAGATTGAAAACTACCTTTGACACATTTGAGCCCTTTGGCTTAAATGAACAAGTGAATTTGTCATGTTTTCTTTAATGTGTTTCGCATGATGGATGCAGTAGGCTACTTGTGATGTCCTATTTTGCATTTTTACTTCTGCGGTGGTGTGTCATACAACATGCTAACGTTATTAGCACAAGCCTATGGCATTTTACATTGTATTGATTAGCCTAGCGGCCGGCAATCTTTCCCTCTTCTCATATGAAACCTGGATAAATCCCGAAGTATAAATCACTGAAGGATAAATCCCTGAAGGATAAATCACACACAAGACTTAAAATGCTATTTTAGTGGAGGCTTTACTGTCTTCACAATTTATTGTTTCTTATCTGTGAACTAAAAGTAAATACAAGCTCTGTTTCCCTTGAGGGAAAGAGTGTCAGTATACAGCGACAGACCAGAGGTCTGCGTCGATGCAACGCGTAGTTACAATTCTGGGGAGGTGCACGGAGGGCTGAAAATTAACTTTTTGGCTCACCGACCAAGGGGACTGGTAGATGAAAAAATCCACCAGCCAAGCATATTTTTTACCAGCCAAAATCACTAATTGCCTTTTTCTGTCACATATACATTTGTTTCAGTACTTTTCATTGAGATAATACAGTATTATGTTGAATACAAACTTAAAGGAGAGGCCAGAGTGAAATTTGAAGCAAAATTAGTTAAATATTATCAAGTTTTTAGCTCAAAATTCCATTTGCACTTTGTACTTCAAACATAACAATAATACACAGTAACATAGCAGGCTATGTGACACTTGCTGCATTCATGGTCATGGATGTGTTCCAGGTTCGGGTCCATGTCATTGGTCCGACAGCCCATTGGTTCGACATCCCATTAGTCCAACTGTCCGCAGTGCTGAACGGCTCACGGCGGGTGTGTGGTGCGCCGCGACCGGCTCTGGGTCAGCTGGGAAAGGCTTGAGGCGAAGCAGGCTCACGGCTTATGTGTTTGTCACTTTCTTTTTCATTTTAACCCACACCATGATCTTTTCCTGACCCTAACCAAGTGGTTTTTGTGCCTAAACCTAACCAGATCTTAACCACAGGGCATCATGATGATTTCGGAACGGACTTTGGAACAATGGGTTTAATATGGTCGGACCAATGGGCTGTCGGACCAATGGGCAGTTCCCCCAGGTTCATCGTTTTGTTATTGTTACTGATGACAAACGAGTTGTTACGTTTTATTTCTTTAGCATACTGCCAACATACATTACAGCTCATTACTGCACCCTCAGCATCATAATGTAGTCAGCCTCTTGAAACGCTGTTATCACCGAACCTCCATTTCTCACAAAACATTCTTTTTTTTCTGTAACGTTACAGCTTCAGCTTCGTCCTCGTCTGTGTTTTTTCATTTTGTCGGTGGTTTACTTACACCTGGTAAATGTCGTGACATGACGCCCGCTGTGATAGCTTGCTTGCTACTAACAGCAGACCATAGATCTAGGCACGCGATATGTCTACGTGCGCGCGCGTCCTCCGAGTAGGCCTACAGGTTCCTTGATGCAGCGGGGAGCAATTTAAGTGCAACACACAACAAACAGAGCACCACTCTGCTATTAGCCACCTTGGTACAAACATTTACCTGCCAATGTGGCGGATAGCCTTCCGAGATTTAGTCACCAAATGGAAAATCTACCCGCATTTGGCGCTTGGCGGGTGTTAATTTTCAGCCCTGGGTGCACGTCAGGCTACATTGTAGGCTCCAAGTCGCCGTGGACCCTACAGTTTTTATTGTAAAATCCCAAAATGGAAAATTCTCTTAAAATTAATGAAAGACTTAAAAAATACTTAAATATACATTAACTTTTCAATCAAAATAAATTAAGATCATCATCCCAAAATTATGAAAACAGCACATATATGCTAACAAGAAAATAAAGTTGAAATGGAAATTCAGTCTAAATGAAAGCATCTTGCCTGTAACTTTAATACAGGCTGAGTTAGGCTTCTTAATGTTTCCAACTGTCCAGCATCCAGTACACACAGTTGTAGGCTGTTTTTGTTTCATAATAATCATTATGTGGAAAAACAATTTGTTTGAATTTCTGTCATTAAACAAAAAATTTTTTAATGACAGAAATTCAAACAAATTATTTTTGAATTTCTGTCATTAAAAAATATTTTGTTTTCTTTTTTGTAATGGTAAAAAACGAGCAAGAGAGAGAGATAAATTCCCACAGACTCCCTGCCATGATACTAACTGGCATGTGTTGCTCACCTTCTTCATTGGGACTGGGAGGGGTAAAGTTACGGGGAGACAGGGCTGCTGCTTCTGACTCATCTGTTGTTGAGTCTGGTAAAAGGAGCAGGGACAACTGATTTAATATGAGTATCTTGCTAAACATTTACCTGCACTGATTAAATGTAGGTTAAAAAGGTGTGAAATATAGGCTAACACTAGTCTGTAGCTAACGTTAGCTTATTTCACTATGGATATTAAGCTAACAGGTTAATCTCTACCACTCACAGACTATAGGCTACCCACCTTTCTTGGAGAAAAACTGGCTCACATATTGACACCCTTTCTTTTGCCTCTCCTGTCTCTCCTTTCTCTCTTTCCTTTTGTGAGAATTGGATTTTCTTTCAGTACTAGGTAGCATGATAACTGTAGCGTTCTACTGTAGCATGCAACTGCTGACTGCTACTAGGCACCGTCACCATCAGTGTGCTAAGGCAGGACCAAACCATTTCATGCAGATACAGGGGGGTGGTCAGTCAATGTGTTTACTTTTTGGTCAGTGGGGATATTTAACTTTTACTGCCAAAAACAAGTTAAAACAAAGAGATCATTAATTTTATTACAATATTTGAAAAAAAAAGTCTTATTGTGGATGGTTTAATAATTTTATATTACTTTTTTTTAACCTATTTTTGAGGCCCCTGTCAGTCAGGGGCCCTTGGAATTGTCCTAATTTTCCCCACCACTGTTCATGAGCTTGAGGAAGACTACAGTCTCCTCATCACACCACATATATTTTAGTTTGCTGCCATTTTTTTAAAATCTCTTCAGAGGAATGGGAGCTTCAGTGGACATTAAAGTTTAAGTCACAAGCTTTATGCATGTCATGGCTTTCTCACATTTTACACCGACTTTACCACCTCATCATTTGGTTCTCCTTCCTGGTTCAAGACAAAAGTAGACTGTGCTTTTGAGGTCATCACTAAACCTGAACTTCGGAGCTCTCTCCTGTTGGACTGCAGGTCTGTGGACACTGCAGGTACCTTTATAAAGCAACTCAAGACCCACTTCTTCAGACTTGCCTTTATATAGTTTTTAGTATGTCACTTAATTTTATAATTTGTATGTTTTTGGCATGTTTTATGTCTGTTGTGCTGTCTTTTATTTGCTTTTTTGTCTTTAATTGTAAAGCACTTTGTGACACCTGCTCTACACACTTACTCACTAGACATGCTTAGATAGGTATGCCATTTGGAGAAAGACACAGAACATCAGGAGAGACCCAAACTGTGATTTCAATATCATGAAACTACATCTGATCTGAATGATGTTATATTTGGAATTCCTTTTATCCTTCCTTTTATCAGGAAGATAAATGTTTGACCTTCTGGAAAGGGACTGCAGGCCATCGAAAACAAAATCAATTTCTAAACAACTTTATAACATTTACAACTACAAAATCAATGGATTACTATACAAATCCGTTATTAATACTTCATTAACATGTTTCATAATTGCAGATCACTGATGAGCTTTTGCTGATGGCTTATTGGGAATTCAAACTCAAGACTCTTTGTTAAAGGGATTTTTTTGGGGAGTTTTTCCTTATCCGCTGCGAGGGTCATAAGGACAGAGAGATGTCGTATGCTGTAAAGCCCTGTGAGGCAAATTGTGATTTGTGATATTGGGCTTTATAAATAAAATTGATTGATTGATTGGTTGATTAAACTGTAGACAGTAGACACTGATGACTGAAGAAAGTGAGAGACAAACAAGCATTTTCAAACCAATTCAAGCCAAATTTACCTATATAGAGATTTATAGGTATATAGATTTACCTATATATATATATATAAAATCATGATTTTAAAAAAAAGTAATCTCAGGACACTTTCATACAGAGCAAATGAAAGTGAAATAAGTTTCTCTGATAGAAAAAGTTGGGAGATGGAATTGTCCTCCCAGCCCTTAATAAGCTCCTGGAAGTCTGTTAAGTCCAACAGGGCCTGCAGAAAAGCACAAAGAGTTTGCACTTTACACATTATTTTTAGATATTCAATTACACATACATATACAGTATCCCTGTTTCCACTTGAAAACTTCTAAAGGTTTAATAACTTCTAACATGCATTCAAAAACAGGTTAACTGGAAATTCATGGTTTAGACACTAAGACACTACCAAATATCCCATAGTGTTATGCACCAGCCTGATCCACAGGACCATGAGTTCAAACCAGTTGGCAGAAGAAAAGCTCTTTCTGGTGGATGAAGTTCAGCATCTTGGCATGTGAGATTTATTTTGATGGCTGGGTGCTCTTTCACACAGAAGAAGATGATGTTAATGAATGTAACAGAAAGGTGGCTTTAATTTATCAGCCCAGGTATGATATTATTACACAGTTATGATTGTCTATCCTACCTGAAAGGTTATTTTTATGAGCTCATCTCTGCTCTTTGGTCCCTGGTGCATCTCTGGTCCCTGGTCAGCTGAGGTCTTCACATGGCAAAACAAAGGATTCAGCAGTGTAGATTTCTAGATGATGCTGTAAATGAAGAATTGACCATATTTCTCTGTCAGAATCTGCAGGTGGAGGGGGCGGCTGCAGGTTGCTGGCAGAGGTTGTAGATGGAGGCTGCAGAGGCTGTAAATATAGAAGCTAAGCTGTCTGTCAGAAACTCAGGGGGAGGTAGCAGCTGCAGGTTGGTGACAGAAGCTGAAGATGGAGGAACTGAGCTGTCTGCCAGAATCTACAGGTGGAGGCGGTGGCTGCAGGCTGCTGGCAGAGGCTCTAGTTTAAGGTTTAGCCAAGCTGGAATCTGCAGGTGGAGGTGGCAGCTGAAGGTTCCTGACAGCGGCTGTAGATGGAGGCTGCAGAAGCTGAAGATGGAGGAGCTGAGCTGTCTGCCAGAATCTGCAAGTGGAGAGGGCAGCTGCAGGCTGCTGGCAGGGGCTCTAGTTAGAGTTTTGCCAAGCTGGCTGTCAATATCTACAGGTGGAGGTGGTGGCTGCAGGTTGATGGCAGAGGCTGGAGATGGAGGTTTGTCCACAGCTGTCTGCAAGAACCTGCAGGTGGAGCTGCCAGTGGTGCAGCTTGCTGGCAGAGGCTGGAGATGGAGGTTTGGCTAAGATGTCTGTCAAAATCTGCAGGTGGAGGTGGTGGCTGCAGGTTCCTGACAGAGGCTGTAGATGGAGGAGTTGAGCTGTCTGCCAGCATCTGCCAGTGTGGAAATACCTGTTAGAGGAAGAAGATGATGTAAACTGAATGTAACAGAAAAGTGGAGTTAATTTATCAGCTCAGGTATGCTATTATTACACAGTTATGATTGTCTTTATTACCTGAAAGGTTATATTTATGAATGCATCTCTGCTCTTTGGTCCCTGGTGCATCTCTGATCTCTGATCAGCTGAGGTCTTCACATGGCAATAGGACAGGATTCAGCGGCGTAGATTTCTGGATGATGCTGTAAATGAAGAATTGGCCAAACCTGCAACAACAGCAGTCTGCTGACAGAGGCTCTAGTTGGAGGTTTGGCCAAGCTGCCTGTCAGAATCTGCAGGTGGAGGTGGTGGCTGCAGGTTCCTGACAGAGGCTATAAATGGAGGCACTGAGCTGTCTGCCAGAATCTGCAGGTGGCAGTGGTAGAGGTCTCTGGCAGAGGATGTAGATGGAGGTTTGGCAAAGCTGTCAGCCTGAATGTGCAGATGGAGGCGGTGGATGCATGCTGCTGGTAGAGGCTTAGTTTGAGGTTTTATCAAGCTGTCTGTCAAAATCTGCAGGTAGACCTGGCGGCTGCAGGATTCCTGACAGAGGCTGAAGATGGGATATGGAAATACCTGCTAGAAGAAGAAGAAGATGATGTCAACTGAATGTAACAGAAAGGTGGCTTTAATTTATCAGCCCAGGTATGATATTATTACACAGTTATGATTGTCTATCCTACCTGAAAGGTTATTTTTATGAGCTCATCTCTGCTCTTTGGTCCCTGGTGCATCTCTGGTCCCTGGTCAGCTGAGGTCTTCACATGGCAAGGGTACACAATTCAGCAGAGGCTGTAGATGGAGGCTTGGCTAAACTCTCTGCCAGAATATGCAGGTGGAGGCCACAGCTGCATGTTGTTGGCCAAGGCTTAGTTGTAGGTTTGGCCACGCTGTCTGTCAGAATCTGCAGGTGGAGGCAGCAGCTGCAGGTTCCTGACAGAGGCTGTTGTTGCTGCTCTTTGGTCTCTGGTGCATCTCTGGTCCCTGGTCAGCTGAGGTCTTCACATGGCAAAAACATAGGATGAGGCGGTGTAGATATCCTGTATATTCGGTAGATCTGGACATTATCCAGGACAGGATTCAGCGGCGCAGATTTCTGGATGATGCTCTAAATGAATAGTTGGCCAAACCTGCAACAACAGCAGTCTGCCGACAGAGGTGTTAGAGGTTTGGCCAAGCTGTTTGTCAGAATCTGCAGGTTGAGGCAGCGGCAGCAGGTTGCTGACAGAGACTGTTGTTGCAGGTGTGGCCACAGCTGTCTGCAAGAACCTGCAGGTGGAGGTGTCATTGCTGCAGGTTGCTTGCAGAGGCTGTAGATGGAGCATTGGCTAAGCTGTCTTTCAAAACCTGCAGGTGGCGGTAGCAGCTGCAGGTTCCTGACAGAGACTATAAATGAAGGAGCTGAGCTGTCTGCCAGAATCTGCAGGTGGAGGCTGCAACTGCAGGTTGATGGCAGGGGCTGTAGTTGGAGGTTTGGCAAAGCTGTCTGTCAGAATCTGCAGGAAGAGGTGGTGGCTGCAGGTTGCTGACAGAGATTGTTGTTGCAGGTGGAGGTGGCAGAGGTCCATGTTACTGACAGAGGCTGTAGTTTGACGTTTGGCCAAGCTGTCTTTCAAAACCTGCAGGTGGCGGTAGCAGCTGCAGGCTGCTGACAGAGGCTGTAGAGGGCTGTAGAGGAGCTGCCCTGTCTGCCAGAATCTGCAGGTGGAGGTGGGTGCTGCAGGTTCTTGACAGTGGCTGTAGATGGAGGAGCTGAGCTGTCTGACGGAATCTGCAGACGGAGGCGGAGGCCGCAGGTTGAGGCAGGGGTTCTAGTGGGAGGTTTGGCAGAGCTGTCTGTCAGAATCTGCAGTTGGAGGAGGCGTCTGCAGATTGATGGCAGAGGCTGTTGTTGGAGGTTTGCAAGAACCTGCAGGTGACACCTTCAGATTTAGACAGACAGTTTGGCCAAACCTCTAACTCGAGCCTCTGTCTGCAGTCTGCTGTTGATGCAGGTTTGGCCATTTGCAGCATCATCCAGAAATCTACGCCACTGAATCCTGTCCTTTCGCCATGTGAAGACTTCAGCTGACCAGGGACAAGAGATGCACCAGGGACCAAAGAGCAGAGATGCATTCATAAATATAACCTTTCAGGTAAGATACACAATCATAGCTGTGTAATAATAGCATTCCTGGGCTGATAAAC